GTCCAGAGGAGGCCATGGAGTTTTTGGGAGGACTGGAGCACCTCCCTCATGGAGACAGGCCAGAGAGCTGGGGCTGTTCCGCTGGGAGAAGGGAGGATTGTGTGGAGCCCTCACAGCCCTGTTAGTACCTGCAGGGCCTTCGGAGGAGCCAGAGAGGGCCTCGAGAGGAGCTGTGGTGACAGGGTAAGGGCAATGGGTGCAAACTGAAAGAGGGAAAATTTAGGCTCGGTAATAGGATGAAATTGTTTATAGTGAGGTGGTGAGGCACTGGAAGAGGCTGCCTAGAGAGGCTGTGGTTGCCACGTCCTCGGAGTTATTCAAGGCCAGGCTGGATGGGGCCCTGAGCACCCTGTTCTGGTGGAAGGTGTCCGTGCCCAGGGCACGGGGATAGAATGAAATGAGCTTTGAGGTCCATTCCAAGCCCTTAACATTCTATGGTTCTGTGGCTCTGTGACCCAGAGGCTGTGCCCGCAGCAGAGCACAGGCTGGGCAGAGGCAGAGCCCCGGTACCTACGGGCAGCCTCGGGTGCAGCTGGAGACAGAGGAGCGGGTGGGTCAGGGAGCTGCTCTCCAAACTCTGTGTGCTCTCAGTGGACACTTCCGGCCTGCGGGAGAGGCAGAGCCCCGGTACCCACGGGCAGCCTCGGGTGCAGCTGGAGACAGAGGAGCGGGTGGGTCAGGGAGCTGCTCTCCAAACTCTGTGTGCTCTCAGTGGACACTTCTCAGTTGGGAAATCTTGCCTTGGCCTTTAACGTTTTCTGCCTTTGGGGCATGCAAACAGCTCTTACCCTTTCACCGAATATTTGCTTGCACTCACGTTACAAATTAGGAGAGAGGTTTCACACCCCACTCTTAGGTAATTGAGAGCTACTGGGTCAGTGTGGCTGGGCTGGCTTGCACTACAGTACGTGTTGTAGAAATAGATGTTTGACACTTAGAAATTGATTTTTTTTTTCTGATTGACTCTAAGTACATATATGTTCTGAGGTAGTAAGCAGAAGCAAGGAACATAAAGGACAACAATTATATTTTTCTTGAAACCCAAAATAAATATTACCATTGCTATTAGCTGAGTAAAATATTGTATTAAGCAGCAGTAAGAGAAACACAGTTTCCTAAGGGTATTTGTGATTTTGCTATTTCAGGTAGAATGTATATATTTAGACTTGTATCAGGATCCACTACAACTGATTTCCCCTCTCCTTGTTTGTTGGGACATAAGTACCAGTATTTACACTGTACAGGCATAGTGAGAGCTCTCAGAATCTCAGGCTTTGAGCTTCTATTGCATAGCCAGAGCACAGAAGTACTTCTGAAAATTGGTTAGGTTTGGTTAGGCTTTCTCTGGATTTTCACTGCCCTTTGTGATGTACCAAAATGTGCAAGAGGAAAATACGTAGAAACCTGCCTGTGAGAGAGAAAGAAAAATGAACTTTTTTTCCTATGAGTAACTTGTATTAATATTGCTGGAGTTTGTTTTTATAAAAGCACCGACATGATGTAAAAACTGAATCATTTCCTTCAGTTTCTTTTCCTTCAATCTTTGTGACCCAACTAAGCTGTAATTAACCACCAGATTCTTCTAACTCTTACTGCTATTTCATCACAGTCTTCTCAGCTGTGGAAATGTTCTCTCATTCTTGTGTGTGTTAGGTATAAATCTGGAAAATCAAAACTTTTACAGGCCTCACAGCATAACCCCAACTAAGCTGTAATTGACCACCAGATTCTTCTAACTCTTACTGCTGTTTCATCACAGTCTTCTCAGCTGTGGAAATGTTCTCTCATTCTTGTGTGTGTTAGGTATAAATCTGGAAAATCAAAACTTTTACAGGCCTCACAGCATGCACTCATTTGTTTATTGTGGTGCATCTTCCTTTGCTATGTGGCATTTCTTATTCTTGGAGTAATCTCTTTTGTGTCAACTCTTTTTGAAATCCCAGCCTTGTTCTGTCCTGTACCGGGACAAATTCAGGACGACTAAATACCAACTAAGCTCCTTTCCAAAAACTGACTAACTGAACACCCACGTCCTTAGGTCAACTCAAATCTTATTTTTTTTACTGTGTAAAACCACTTTTCCAGTTACAAATCCTGAATGCTCACTGTAGTATTTCTTATCCTTGGAGTAATCTATCTGTGGCGACTCTTTGAAATCCCAGCCTTGTTGTGTCCTGTACCGGGACAAATTCAGGACGACTAAATACCAACTAAGCTCCTTTCCAAAAACTGACTAACTGAACACCCACGTCCTTAGGTCAACTCAAATCTTATTTTTTTTACTGTGTAAAACCACTTTTCCAGTTACAAATCCTGAATGCTCACTGTAGTTTCCAAAATGTTTAGATCTGCCTGGATGCTAGAGAAATTGCAAAAATGGTTGTTACTTACTCATACTGGATTGTTTTGGAAGATTTCAGAACTTCCTGACAGGAGTCAGCCCCCTGAGCACTTACACTAAAGTCAGAATTGTCTCTCCATTTGAAGTTGGCAAGAGCTCCAAGAGCTCTGCTGTAGAGGAACCAGACTTCCTCTGGTTTTAAACAAAAAACAATCTGCTTTGCAGATTCCAGTTTTCTTCACAAACTAGAACACAACCCTTTTCCTCTCTAATGTAATTTTCCTTACCAGATTACTTTCCTAACGCTGTTTGAAACAGACAGAAACTGAAGTTGTGTTTTCTTCCAAACATGCTGTTCCATAGTAAATTGGATCCCTGGCAAGCTTTATAACACCAGAGGAAGGATTGTAAGCAGTGTTGTTGATATACTTACACTATTGAGCCTTTGGAGTGCTTTGGGCTTGGGCTAATAAAAGCCTTTCCTAGCAATGATAATAATTGCTGCCTTAATAAAGTGAAACTGCATAGGATAAAATTTCTAGCTACAGATACTTAATTTAATTTTGAATTATACTTAAAAATTCTAGTAGTGTGTGTAAATGCTGAGTAAGTTGATTCTGTTCAGTTTGGTGAGTCAAATGCAGAGAAGATTAAGGCATTTCCTTCTCTGAGAATAGTCACTTCCAGAGGCATAAACCCTCTGTTCCCCATACACACTTTTGCTCTTACTTAGTCCCATAAGCTTTTGTGACTATTTAAAAGGGGTTTTTGCTATATTAAAAATATAATTGCTAGTTGTTTCTTAGATTTGAGATAAATTAGAAGAGAGGAATGTCTCTTCTGTTCTGGAACATGTGCTTTGATTTCAGATTCTGTTCTGTGACCCTGGCTACAGGACAGGAATAGAATGTTGTATATTATCTGTCTGAAACTTTTATTTAAGGTTATAAAAATGAGATTATACTTAGATAACATCTCTTCCATCTCTGGCAGCCCATAAAGTACAGTGTCAGTCAGGAGTAAACTGGAATTTTTGTAAACATGCAGCATATAAAAGCCGTAAGTGAAGCATTACCTCATGAGTGAGGTTTCCAGCGTGAGCACTGTAACATGTCACTGCAAATGTTAAATGAACAAACTCCAGACCACGTCAAAACTGATAGAAGCTGATTCACCAGAGGAAAATCCTTTGGAAATGCTGAAAACCAGCTATCTAGGCTCTCCTAGGTAGAAACAACATCTATTTTTGTTTGGTTTGTTTTTTTCTTGTAGTCATGCCTGACGCACGCTGCTCTTTCTGGGAACATGCGTTTTCTGCATCAAGAACTGGAAGCTCTGCTGTTTCCAAAACAGCTAGATAAGCATCTAAAGAGGCTAGTTCTGCTCAACAGTCAAAAGAAATAATAAACTTTGTAATAGAAATAGAAAAATAGAAGATATTACATATTCGAAATATTCCAGTGTTAAATACCAGTTTTATCTTATTGTGAAATTTTTAATGAATGCTAAATTTTATTTGTAAGGCATGAGGAAATTTATGAAGAACATAACTGTTATACTTTTGTAATATGTAGTTCTCTTACCTTGAAGTGTCCTTGATGGTGCATTGACGTGAGCATTGCATCTCATCCTTTCACTTAAAGTCTAATTAAGTAGGAGATTGAAGGCATAAGGTATAATTTGAGTAGCTAAGTTTGGCTTCTAACTGAATACAACTGGTATGGAGGTACTTTTGCATGTTGAGCATGTCAGTCTGTTACATGCAGTATATTTAAGAGACGATAAATATTTATTTAGCACGAGTTTGGGATGATCCTGCATGGATCAAAATCTTATACAGCCACATGCAAGTGCCAGTAACTCTAAAAACATTCTAGCACTTCTTGTTTATATTTCAAGAGAAAATCTTTGTAGGAGAATTTTGTGAGGAACATTTAACACAGTTTCAGTCTGTAAAAACTGATTAAAATCTTAGACTTATGGGGGAAGACCTTTAAAATATAACTAGGTTAAACATCAGTTAAAGCTTTCTGCAGTAGACCTCTTGGAGCCTTATCTCTGCACTTACACACAGCCATCTTTATAACACTGGTCATGGGACCAATGAGGCCTCGCTGCCTCTATAAACATGCTTTTGTTCTGGAAACTCTTCTCTTACCTCAATACCCCAAATCCACTTCATGTTCTCTCGGGCAGTGTGTGCCATGGGTAGTCCTGAGTTCGTGTTTCTACTGATATTCATCTAGCAAGAGTGACAAAGGGCTTCTTGTTCTGCCTTGAGTCAGAAGAATGGACCATATGCAATATGAAAGTCTCTTCCTTGTCTTTCTGGGTTTCATTGGTAATTAAATTGCATTAAGCTTCCATTCATAATTTTTATCCAGAACATGTTTAAATACAAAAGGGAGGAAGTAGTGTTGTATAAAAGTTAAGCTCCTTTTTGGCAGCTTTGTCTCTTGTCTGTCCAGAGTAGTTTGGAAGCTTAATCTTCTCCTGCATTGTAAGTGCTCTCCCTTGTATGGGTTGTGTTGCACCTCTGTCTGAATTCATAGCCTGTGCTTCTTAGGGGCAGTAGGGTGGAAGGTCTAATGATTCCTTCTTTCTGCAAGCCAAAAAACATCCCAAATTCTAATATGTTCTTTTTTCTGTTTTTCTGTAGGTCTAATCAACACTGCAAATCAGTGTCTAATCCACAGTCATCACTGTGAGATCTCTTGTAAGTACACCTCTGTGTGTGTCTGTCTGTGGTGTGTGTGTGTGTGTGAGGTTTTGCATGAGCATGTTCAAAGGAAAAAGCCACAGTTGTCTTCTTGGGACTCACTTAAGTTTTCCCAATTGATGTCTCTTAAGAATTACAACCGATTTTTGTCAGGATAGAAATGTGATTATCTTTTAAATTACTACAAATATATACAAATTAGCTGAGTTTTCTGGTTTTAGAAACACTTTTAAAAGTATTACAAATTAAGTTGAAATTCCAAAATGAAAGAAATGCAACCTTCCTCTCCTCCCTTCCTAAATTAGCCAGTTCTTGATTATTAACCAGTAGAGTTTCACAGTGACACCACTTCTGAACAAGCTCCTATGCAGCCCAAAGAAAAGCTGTGGCACTGTCTCATTGTGTTAAATAGTTTGCAGTACTCCAACAACTCTGCTTTTTGTCCAAGTCAGTGTGCCATATGTGCATTGTTGGAAGGTGAGGAGCAGCCAGAGTTCCCCCTGGGATTTATTTTAACTTCTAGCATTATGTGTAACCATGGGAGTGTCCTGACATTTCCTTACCATGTCTTAGAGCCATGGCTGGCTTGTCTTTGAAATACAGACTCAACTGCTGGTTTTGGAGCACTGAATTAACTGGGATGAAAGTATCATACAAGATTTGTGTTATAAACCAATAATCCTTCATTTTAGAGAACTGGAGCTTTGGAAAGTAAACTGATCTCTTTTCTGCTGAGGTTGATGGTGAGGCTCACCAGAGCAGAATACACATGTACATTTTGAAAAGAATGTAGCATTCATTTTTTTATAAAAATAAATATGCAGAATTCCACCCATACAAGTCTGAGCTTAATTTAGTTTATTATACTATCATTCAGTAGTAATTTTATTCTGTAGCTGTAATTACAAAATCAATGTGGTGGTCATGTTGTTTTAAATATCTGCAGATCTCTCAGTCTTACATTACCTTAAAGCTGTTGATATTGGCTACAACACAACTGCTTATATTGAAATTCTCATTAAATAACCCACCAACCTGTTAACTGACTTCTGTCTGCTGTAAGTAGCAGTTGTCTTGTTGAACCTGAAATGTTAATTGTAGCCTCCCTCATCACCTGAGGCTGGCAAATATATTAATAAAGGCGTATTTTGAGGTGTGCCTACGTTCTTTTAATTCTTGATGGAGCCCTGAGAATTTCCCTCTTCTCATCCATTCTGTTTATCAGATGGTGTCCCTGACAGCCCAGGCCCGTGGTGGGTGTCAGTGTCACGGGCTCCCCTGCCTGGCTGAGGTTCTGCCCTTGCCTGGTGCACCCGTGCCTTCTGTCTTCCCCCGTGGCAGCGTGGCTGATGTGTAGCAGGCTGTGTTTGCACAGCAGCCAGCTGAAGATAACCACCCCTCTCACATGCCAGGGCAGACTGGGCCCAGGCAGTGGGCTGGCCCTGACTGCCGTTTGCTGTGATGGTTTTGTTTTTCTCCTACTCACCACCAGTCCTAATTTAGGCCCAGTTCTCCTTAATGAAGATTTCTGACATGCAGACAAAATCTGCCAAATTGTACTTTATTTTAAATGGAGTTAAATTGGTCAGATTTTATTCTGTTTTCCATACTTGGAGTTTGAAATGCATAATATTGAAGTACTTTTTGAAATTGGAAAGCAAATCTGCATAATCCCTTTCTGAGAGTCTGACATTCAGAGTTGAAAAGTAGAAGATTAAAAATGCAGTTGCTGGAGAAAAGTTAATAAAGGAGTTTTGGAATGTTATATAGTTTTTAGATTACAGCATGTACACTTTTGAGTCCATATACAATTTTTGAGTATATCAAGATACATTTTAATCTGACTAGAAGTTGATAGAATATTCTGAAAAGCAGTAAAGCAATCTGCTGTACCTTTTCTTGTAGTACAAATATTTAGTGGGAAAACAAGTGTTGACCTTTCCCATAATTACACAATTGTGTCATTACTCAAGTAGCTTAAACACAATATTATGTTGTGAAGGACAGACTTCATCTCAACAGCCCTGAACTATTCAAACAGAAATAGTGGGGAAAAGTCTGTGAGAAGTAAATATTTGTGAATGCAAGAAACAAGTATGGAAAAGATTCATCCTCTTTCATCCCCAGAGCAGTTCACTGCTCTATTGTGCAGTGATGCTTTTGAAGTGAGCTTTTAGAAGGATTAAAACTAATTAACTGACTATAATATTACTAATTTAATTATTTTTTCTCTCTTTTTCCTGCTCTCTGCTTGGCACTGGTTTTCGCCCGTAGGTGTCCACTGTTGGCTCTCAAAGGTTACTAAAATTTTGCAGCTGCTCTGAATCAGCACTACCTAAGCTTCACCTACTGTTGCTTCTCCCTCCACCACTCTGCACTGCTGCCTTGCTCTTGCCTGCTTCAGAACTCCATAAGCGAGTTTCTCTTTGCAATACCCACAATGAAATTTAGGCTAGAAATGTGTGCCATTCTCTTGCTGCCTGTGTACTTGTTAATCTGGTTGTACAGTATGCTGGTATTCATTCCCTGGTATTTTCTCACCAATGCCAAGAAGAAAAAGGCAATGGCAAAGCGGTTAAAAGCTAAACCCATCTCGGAGCAGCCGGGGAGCCCCTACCGCTCCGTCACTCACCTGGACTCACTAGCCAACATAAACATCCCTGGGGCAGACACGCTGGACAAGCTCTTTGACCACGCTTTAGCAAAGTTTGGGAAGAAGGACTGTCTTGGAACCAGGGAAATTCTGAGTGAAGAAAATGAAATGCAACCAAATGGAAAAGTATTCAAAAAGGTAAAAGTTAACATTTTTTACTTCATTCTGACTTGGGTTTGAGCTGCTTTGTATCTTGCCTCATTGATGCATGTCCCTTTAGAGCTCTTCCTCAGTCATCATCTAAAACCATTAATGTTATGGTAGTTGAGGAATAACAGAATTTACAGGATGCACTGTTTATTCTGCTTCAAGTAAAATGAAAGCAATTTCTTAATGAATGGCAGACTGTGTATTCATTATGTTATGCACCAATTCACATCAGCCAGTAGAGCTATACCAGAAGCTTCTTGTCATGAAATTCGTTGTTTTTTTCCTCTCAAGTTAATTCTAGGAACTTACAGATGGTTATCCTACGAAGAAGTGAACGAGAAAATAACTCGCCTGGGGAATGGACTGACTGCCCTGGGGCTAACCCCAAAAAGCACTGTTGTCATATTCTGTGAGACCCGAGCTGAGTGGATGATTGTGGCTCTCACCTGCTTCAAGTACAACTTCCCTCGTGAGTGCTCAGCTTGGTTACTTCTAAGGGATTTTAGAACCATTTCTCAGCACAGATCTGGCTGTTAAGTATTTTGACTCTGCCTGTGTTGTCGTTGGAGGTGTAAGAATTTCATAAACTTTCTCTGCTGGTGGTCTGATTCTTTGAAGTTTTCAGTCTATCCTGTCCATTGTGGATGTCCCTAAAATTAACTTGCTCACACTTAGGAAACTGTTTTTTATAATTTTATTGTACTATGTTCTAGATGTGAAAATGACAAAACAGTACACTTACCATTCAGGTTGTTTTAAATATTCTGAAGATGTCAGTAGTTGCATTTAAGATGTCAGTTGTATTTCTCCCCTAAAAATGTGGGATGTTTTTACAGTATTTTCTGTCTGTATCCTAAATTATACATCCAGAAGATTAAATGGTTATCAGAAGAGAAGAATAGTGAACAAAATCATATGATAGTCTGTAGATAGTCTGTTTTGGTGACATTTGTAAGCTGCTCAAATTCATTACAATTATATATGGTTTTTCTTTTTTTTTTTTTAATTCAAGCTGTCAGAAATCTCTAATGGGAGTTAAATGTGGTGAGCTGCAGTGGTTACTGAGCACTCTGGTGCCCATTTTGCACACAACACACTGTGAACCACAGCCTATTTTTTTGCTTGCACTGGGCTGTCTCTTTGTCCCAGCAGCAGCAGCAGCTGCCTGTGTGAGGAGCAGCTCGTACAGCAGAGTGTGCAGAGAGGCTGTGAGGGGCAGTGGAGGAAGGGATGAACTTCCTGCTGAAGGAGGAGACTCTGGTTAATTTGGCCTGGAGCCCTGTACTTTGAAAGGCAGTAAGAAATAGCTGTATAACATTACTCTTTTTCCTGTTCTGTGTGAATCCTATCTCACAGCACTGTTGAATTCCTTTAATGGTCTTTGGAGGTTACAGTTTGAGATAGCAAATGATACTAAAGAAGGGTTTTTTTTCAGTAGCAAGATAATGGGGAGAGGTGAACTCCATTGTGCCTGGGAGGCACTCAGAGACATTCCTGTAGCCAGTCTGGGTTAAAATAATCTGGCAGTGTGAAAAACAGTCTGATTCCTTAGTCTGATTCTCTGCCTTGCTGCCATCAGTAATTCCAGGGAAGCAAGGAAAGCAGCTGACAGTGTGTAAAGGGCTGCCTGTAGCCATGCCCAGCTTTAAGCTGGTGCCCTGTACTGTCTGAGGGTTACCTCTCCCCTGACTTGTGGTTGCAGAGAGCTCAGGGGCAGAACACCTGCTCGTAGTTGCTTACTCTGGGATTGCTTTGTACATTATTGTTGGGGTTTGATGCATCTGTTTGTTCTGATAATTCTCCTTTTTCTATAGCAGAAATTATTTTGGGAGGATGTAGATGACCATTACAGGTTCCTTCCAACTGCCTGACCACTTCAGGTCTAACTAAAAGTTACAGCCTGTTACCTAGAGCGTTGCTCAAAGGCCTCCTAAACAGTGACAGGCTTGGGGCATCAACCATCTGTCTAGGAGCCCTGTTCCAGTATTTGACCATGCTCTTAGTAAAGACATGCTTCTTACCCAGCTGTCCTCCTTGTTCCAGAGGTCTCCTGTGCCATAACATTTCTGATGTGGAAAAATCAAAAACTGTTTCATTTTCAAATTAGAAAATTCCCAATTGAGTGCTTTCCAGTAAGCTAAGCTAAGAGCTTTTGCTTTTAGTTTTACTTTTACCCTTCTTTCATGTTCTCTCCCATCCCTGTGACAGTTGTCACTCTCTATGCCACCCTGGGGGAAGAGGCAGTGACCTATGGTCTCAACGAGTGTGGAGCATCGTACCTGGTCACGAGTGTGGAACTCCTTGAGAGCAAACTTAAGGTAATTTGGTATCATCTTCCCCTGCTGTAAGCAACCCTACAGTTCAGTCAGTACACTACTAAAAAATTCATTTCTTTTCTGTAGACTGCACTGCTGCAAGTCTCCTGTCTGAAACATATCATTTATGTGGACAAGAAGACAGTGAACAAATCAGAATACCCTGAAAATGTGGAGATTCACAGCATGCAGGCAGTGGAAGAGCTGGGAGCCAAACCAGAAAACTGTAAGTGAATCACTTCACAGAGGACTGACTAAACAAGCAGTGTTAGCACCTGGGTTAAGAGGGATGTGTAGCAGAAAACCCCCCACCCAGCAAAGGGTGGCCTTTGTCACCAGCAAAGGCAGTGGCAGGTTGCCAGTTCATCCTCCAGCTCCCTTTAAATAAACAAAAAAATTGTTCTATATCTTTTGTTCATGTGACATGTATGTCAGGATAAAACTTTCTGTTTAACTTGTAAACCATAACCAGAATAATTTAATACTTCATCTTTGTTTTAGGAAATGAAATAGAAACTGATTTAGTATTTCATTTTCTGCTACTCTTACCTTTTATTTATCTTACTGTCACTATTTTTTCTAAGAAAAGAGGAGAAAGCACTTAAAGTTTTTTTGTTTTTTTGCTTGAAAATGTCCATTATCTTAACCAAGTTGTAGCTAAAAAGCACTTAAGGCTAGAGGAATAACAGTTACATTCCTTGTTCCATTGGGCAGCCAGGAGTGACTGTAAACATCTGCTTTAAGGAAGGAAAACCCAACCCTGATGATCTGTTCTCCTTACATCAGCAGTCTGTAATTAACCACGTCCCTCTCTGGAATAAAGCAGCAGATAAACTGGCAAAGGAGCTTTGGGAAACACACATCCATCACAGCTGCTTATCTCTGATAAGCCTGAGGTGCTGATACAGAGCTGCAGTGACCCTAAGGGGTGTTTTTTCTTGGGCTTAGTCTCAGAAAAGCCTGCTTCCTTGCAGACACTGTGAAAGCCATGAAGGCTGATGATGGCCATCCTAAGAATAAAGAGGACTAAAACAAAAACCAGAAGTCCAGTGTTCTAAGCTTACTGCTTTTCTACTACACCTGCAGCTTATCTGATGAAGGTTTATTTAAAATTTTTTTAAAAATGTCAGGAGGGGGAGTTAAAAGGAATCTTGCCTCTACAACCTTGGCTTTGAAAGACTGATGGACAGAAAAGCTGACTTGCAGCTTTTTGGGGTGTTGGGTGTTTGTTCTGTTTTTTTGCTCAACTTGCTGGTTATCATCCATACTGTGTCCCTTTGCTGCGTTTGACAGTTTTATTGGTCCTCAAAAGGCTCCTTCTGTGAAACTCTCAGTCAGCTATAAACCACAATGACAAAAGTGTCACCCAGATTGTGTAGATGCTCATATACTCATAATTTCTCTCAAAATTGGCCTTCTCTCTCTTCCTCTTGAAACCAAATGACTGCTCTCTCCAGCACTGGCCATACAACAGCTTGCTGTGCTGACCTTCCATGAAGCACCTGTTTCACACTGACTACAGACATTTTCATATTGATTAATTACAGAAAAAATTTAGAAAGTAGATAAGGATAAATAACAGTTTTTCTCCTGAATTTTGTAGCAAGCATTCTGCCAAGCAGACCTGTTCCTACAGACTTGGCTTTAGTAATGTACACCAGTGGCTCTACTGGGAGACCCAAAGGAGTGATGATGATGCACAAAAACCTAATAGCTGGAATGACAGGACAGTGTGAGAGAATACCTGGACTGGGGTAAGAAATACTTTGTTGTCTTGTGCACAGAGAGCTAAAACAACCTCCAGAAGTGTCACATTTATAGAGTCTGCTGCTGGCATTGTGTTATCATGCTTCTTTGTGTTATTGTGAGGCCACTACTTTTTAATTTATAAGGAATATGTCTTATGTGTGTTAACTTCCTTTATTTGAATATGCCCTATTCTAGCTGTTTTCTCACATGCTGCTAGTTTGCACTTTTGAGTATCAGAGGATAGCACTAGATAACAGATTCCTCCTCTAGTGCAACTTGGGAAATGTTTTTAGACATTTTCAGGCACCTGGAATCAGTTTAGGAAGCATGTCAGAGCCTGGCACTTTGACCTGGAGACAGCACCTGGGTGCACATGCTGCAGAATCTGCTAAAGTACAGTTCAGTGAAGGAGCAGAAAAGTAATAAATTATGCACTGACTACAGTAAAACCAAGTGCAGATTCCTTCACATAAGTGTTTTGAGGAAGTTTTTGTGGAAGTGTGTGTATTTGTCTCTGCATTCACAAAAGGTTCAATAGCTGAAATAAGCCCTGATGCCAGACTGCTGATGTGAGAGGATACAAACCCAGTTCTGGGTGGGTGCTGAAAGCTGCTGTGCAGTGACAGCTTTAAGGTTCTTGCTGAGAAATCTCTGAGCAATTACTTTCTGAAACCAGCCTCGGTACTTCAGTAATCAGCTCTCTTTCCAGTAATGTATCCTAGAAGATGATGATGGACAGGGCTTTGTAAATCATTGGTCATTATTGTAAAGTGTAATTATTTCATCCTTAATTTCATAACTGAAATGAAACCTCCCACAAGGAGAGGAAATAGCAGTGAAGGACTAAGTAATCAGAGTTTCCTAGAAAGCAAGGCAAATCCTGTAATTTGTAAGGGCAGATTTCCCCACTTTGTTTATACACTGTGGCTGAAATCACACCCATCTTGTGTGCAGGAGAATAAGCTCACCTGGGATCCAGGTCAATCAAAAAGTAATAACTAAGCACCCAATAAAATGGTTAAGTGGTATTTTCAGTCCACTTCTGACTCGTGGTTAATTATTTTTTCTTTCCCAGACCCAAGGACACTTACATTGGTTATTTGCCTCTGGCCCATGTGTTAGAACTGACAGCAGAAGTCTCCTGCATCACTTATGGCTGCAGGATTGGTTACTCCTCTCCTCTCACTCTCTCAGATCAGGTGAGGGCTAGCAGAGCAAGGTGGGGAGCAAACTTCACCTTTTGCAGCCTGTTCTCTCCTTGCTCAGCTTCCTCCTTCAGTAAAGAAATGCTGATGTATATGGTACACTTCAGAAATGTAATTTTTTTCAGAAAATGATGTAAATTAACATTCCTGGTGAACAACAGTGGTGGGTTGTGCCATATAGATTTTATGAAAACCTTTGCTTTCATGATACTTAGGAAATCTAAAAGCAATCCTAATAAATGTCTGTAGTGTTATCCATTGGATAACAGGGTAAGAACAGCTCTTAATGGATCAGCTGAACTGTTTAAGTGATCTTAATTTTTGGTCTCACTTTATCAGTTCTTTATCCAGTTATTGCAGATCTTCTGTTTAGTCCTTTGCATTTTCCCTTTAGCAATTCAGATAAATAGGAGTAAATTAAGCCAGAATAGATACCTCTGTATGTTTTGCTTGTAGAGAGATTTGCATCAAGCAAAACAAGCTCCCAGAGGAAGATGGAGGAGAAAGCAAGTGCTAGAGGGAGGAAGTAAGAGAAAGATAAACAGAGTGAACCTGTAAAAGATTGAGTATTTTGGTTGAAATAGATGTTAATCATTACCTTTTCCTTAGCAATGGGGGCAAAATGACACAGGAACAGGGGAAGATATTTGAACAAATTACATGCTAATATATCTCCTCCTTTAGTTAGCCCTTTAGTTTTCAGGCCCTCTTTCATTTTCAGCTTCATAAAGTGAATTTTTTTCTTTATTACAGTCAAGTAAAATTAAGAAGGGAAGCAAAGGAGACTGTACTGTACTTAAGCCTACACTGATGGCAGCTGTGCCTGTAAGTATGCAGAAGCAGATAAAAAAAACCTTTTTTATGCTAGAAAAATGTATTTACTAACATGTTTTGATCTCTCAGAGGAAAGAGTGATCAGGAGACTGGGATTCCTCTTGCTTCTGCAGGTTACACTGCTCTGGGCTCCTGCACTGCACAAGGCTGTGGTGCTATCCAGAAACTCCACAAATGTTTGTGTCTTTCTGGCCCTCCCCACATGTGCAGCCATCACAGCTGCTGCTTTTAGGATCCTCTCCCATCTGTGGCTCATAAAACTGGTAGCACTGGGTGGTGCCACATGGTGGTGGGGAGTGAGTAGGAGGATGTAATCTAATTTAGAAATACTGAGTTTTTGGTTGGATTTGGTTGTTCTGCAACATCTTAGAATAGCCAAGAGTTTTAAAATCAAATAAGTCACTTGCATTCTTTTGTTTTATAAAATCATAAGCACATAAAGAGGCTTGGTCATCTTCTTAGTTATTAAGAGAGTGACAATAAGTATGTCTGAGAACTCCAACCTTCTGGAAAATATCAATTTAAATTTATTACATGGAGAGAAAGCACATAAATACTTCAAAACATTGTGCTCCAAAACAAACTTGAAGGAGCCAATCTTTAAATTTCTATTAAATACTTCACCAGCCTGAACAATGTTTTAGGTTCTGTGTATTTGGGTGACCATAAGCTTATTGTTTTAATGGAAATTAATCTCTGGTCTGTGACAGAATTGTGGTGGATTTCTGACAGATAATTAGAATTACTGCAACCATGTTGCTCTGAAAGTTGAAGAGCTCTCTTGGAAAAGGAAATGGTGCAATGAATTCTTAGTTCACTCCCTTGCACTTAACAATTGCTGTACATAAAGTACAGCATCAGCACTCCCAAGCAGGACACACCATGAGGGGAATATAGCAACCTTTAGCAAAGAGATTGAGTTAAACTTGAATTTTAAATTTTCTGAATCAGTGTAAGTACAGGTTCAGGTGTAAATAGCTCCAAGCTGCAATGGTCTGTAAATTGGCTCAGTGATCACATGTTAAAAGAATTGCACTTAAGCACTGCCTAGATGATGCAAAGATTTTCACTCTTGTTTATCCATTTTAAAGGAAGGATAACTGCAGGGGGTTTACTTATGACATGGGATTTAATTTACACATGCTGGTCTGTCCCATGTGGTAATTTTCCTTTTTTTTAATACTTTGTAGGAAATAATGGACAGAATTTACAAAAATGTCATGAGTAAAGTTCAAGAGATGAACTACATTCAGAGAACTCTGTTCAAGATAGGCTATGACTACAAATTGGAGCAGATCAAGAGGGGATATGATGCACCCCTGTGTAACATGTAAGTAGCATTCAGGGGCCAAGGGTGTGTTTTGCCTTGGGATCTGTTAGGACAGTCTGAAAGAATGATGCTCTGAGCTATCAGACACTCCTCATCTGCCATGCAAATAACATCTGATGAGTAACTGACGTAGTCCAAGTTCTTACTGGAAACAGCTAAGATATTTCATGGTAATGACTAATCTTCCCAACAGCTGCCTGCTTCATTTTCATTGCATTGCTTTTTTTTAAGTGATAAAACTGGAATGTTTGTTAAGCTGCAGGAACTCTGCCTCCTCGAGTGTTACACAAGAGGCAATGGGTTTGGATAAGCCCTGCTGTCTATTAAAATCTGGGAAAAAGTTAATTTTTTGTTCCAGATAGGTAGGAAGGAAGTTTGTGTCTTCTTACAAGAGTGGGCTAAGTGAGTAATTTTTAATGTTTTTTTGCCTTCTTTCAAGACTATTATTTAAAAAAGTAAGGGCCCTGCTGGGAGGGAATGTCCGAATGATGCTTTCTGGAGGAGCACCACTCTCCCCTCAAACACAAAGATTCATGAACATCTGTTTCTGCTGTCCTGTTGGGCAAGGCTATGGACTGACAGAAACGTGTGGAGCTGGAACCATTACAGAAGGTAGTTAAACACCTGTGCAAATACATAACTTCAGACACAGATATATATGGGTGTTTGGTGATTCTTAATTTTTTTTTAAACAAGTCAAAATACAGCTACAATTTTAACAATTTATCATCTTAATTCTAATAACAAGTTACAATTTTTAACAATTAAGTATTTACAATACTACAGCTGTAGTTCTGCAATAAAGTAAATTGAGATAAGATACACCCTATTCATATTTCAAATAACAAAAATCTTGGGTTTCTTTCTTGTTTTCTCCCTAAGTTGCTGATTACAGCACTGGCAGAGTTGGAGCTCCTCTTATTTGTTGTGAAATAAAACTGAGAGACTGGCAAGAAGGTGAGAGTAATAATTGTTCTGACTTCAGAATAATGAATTTAGCCTCTGCCTAGCTGGTATCTTTGCCTATCTGCTTAGCTAAATGTAGCATATGGAGAAATGGTTCTTTATCTTTGATAACAGCCATCAGTTAGTGTGCTTTAACTTCAAACTGAAGTTTCAAAGTAGTTTCTTGGCAGAAGGATATATAAGTTAAAAATAATTGCTTGGGACTGTGTTGTTTTTAGGAGGCTACACTAATAAAGACAAGCCTAATCCTAGAGGAGAAATTGTAATTGGTGGACCCAACGTCTCCATGGGATATTTTAAAAATGAAGAGAAGACAACAGAAGAGTTTTCTGTTGATGAGAATGGCCAGAGATGGTTCTGTACAGGGGATATTGGGGAATTTCATCCAGATGGGTGTCTGCAGATCATAGGTAGGTCTCAGTTTTTGATACCTTAACATATTATAAAGTATTGACTAACTATAATTGTAAACATGTTATTAATACTGTTGGCTTTGCCTGGGCTAATCTACTTAAGGTTTCCTATTTACAGAATTGGTGTAAAACACATTTCCAAAGGTCCTCATAGCTGGAGTAAAATTTTGGAAGCGATGCCATTTCCTGTGACATTATCATCATCTAAATTTAGCACATGGACTTTAAAGAATGAATACAAGAATAACTTTTGGATTAATTACAAAGCTTTAAAATCAGAGTCCTTTCCTACAATCTGTGTGACAAGAAGTGTAGTGCTATAACACTTTTTACAGAAATCTGTATAAATTTGGCAGCTATTAGCTGCTTTAAAACTTGCCAGATTAAGATCTGGCATAGCACAAAATACTTAGGTGGCATGCATGGAAATGAGTCTGTGGAAATGCTCAAGTTTAAATGAAACAAGGTTTTCTTTTTTCCCCTTCCCTGACTCCTAGATCGTAAGAAGGACTTGGTAAAGCTACAAGCAGGAGAATATGTATCTCTGGGCAAAGTAGAGGCAGCCCTGAAGAACTGCCCATTGATTGACAATATCTGTGCTTATGCCAAAAGGTAAGAGCAGTATTAATTTACAAACTCTGCTTAGAGTAAACATGAAGTACAGGCTCTGATCCACTTCTCTAATCCAACTATAGTTCTCCATGGCTTCCTTCTAATAACCCTCTCCATCAGAGTACAAGTTACAAACATGTCTGAGGAAGCAGAGCTTTCCAGATTCCCTAAAAGCTGAAGAAATTACCTGGTTTTCTGTTGGCATTTCTCCTATCCAGATATGCCTCTGTTCCATCCCATCCCTTCCCTAAGAAAGTACATATCATTATATATGGTTATATTTAACATGTGTTCTGGCTGTCAGAACCCAGTGAAAAGTTAATCTGGACACTTTGCACCTGATCCAAAGCTTTCCAGTGAGTTTTGGAAGTAGTCCCAATGTATTCCTCTCTCTCCCTACGTGAGGGGGAACTGCAGAGAAGTGGTTAAACCCCAGGTCTGGCTGAGATGTGCATGAGTGAAATGACAGCAAGCATTCTGATCAAACCTGATGTTCCAAACCAGCTTAGAATATCTTCTTGATCAGCCTTCAGATGTGAAGACTTAATGCACAAGAAGGGTTCTGCATGGTGGAGTAACCTGGGCATTTGTGGGTCCAGCAGCAGGTAATTTACACCCTGAAAGTCTTGACTGACCCTTTTTTCCTTCCTTCCCTTGCCACTCTGTGTAGTGACCAGTCCTACGTGATCAGTTTTGTGGTCCCTAACCAGAAGAAGCTGACAGCACTGGCTGAGCAGAAAGGCATCAGTGGAAGCTGGGTGGACATTTGTAACAATCCTACAATGGAAGCAGAAATACTGCGAGAGATTAAAGAAGTGGCAAACAAGAGTAAGTACCACAGCACATCCTGCTGGCCATGGGGGCTCCTCCAGCAAAAACTGCCATTATCCTCACTAACTGCTCCTCCTCCTTCCAGTTTGTCTGTATGTGCCAAAACGTAATGGTTTATTGAGGCAAAGAGCACACAGAATTGTTGCATATTATCCCAGGAATTTACATAGTAATGGTTGTATTGATTACTATACTACTTGTATTTTTTACAAATTATCTGAAGGTTTTTTCCAACTAAATTCTGGAGACAAGTTTCTTGTCTAATATGGTTAAAATAAGGCCCAAAAGAGCCATTAATTGGAAGAAAAGTTGAAAGGCATTTGCTGGCAAGGAACCTCGTTAAGCAAGAGATTTCAAAGCATTTTTTCCCCGTACAACTTTGTTCCCTACAGCTTTGAATAGCCATGATCCTTGTGGTTGTAGAGGCTTAAAAGCCTGCTGCTCCTTGCTGTGGCACTGAAGGATTAAAAGTGTCATCAGTCCTTTATGTGACAAAAAATTAACAAACTCAGTGGGGAAGAAAGTCTCTAAAGCACTTGGCATGTCATACAAGGAAGCAGTAAAAGCTGCACTTAAGCAAGAAGGAAAGGCACTATTAAGTCTTACCTTGAAAAAAATAAATTAATCCATATGTTTAAGGCTTAGGTTTAAACACTTTAATCCATGGGGGTTTTTAGCATGAATTGGGCAAATTACTATCCATACAGCTTTGTGTACTTATACCCTTTGATTAGACATTCTTTCTGCCTTCTAGATATAATCTATTGAGATACAACTAATTTATGTGAAACTTTTTTCAAAACTATTTCCAAGAGGTAGTTCTACGTCCATAGCAGAGCACGATGCTCCTTCCTCATGAGCAGGCACACATCTGAGTGAGAGGCAGCAGCACATCCTGATAGCAGCTGAAGTTAGAAAGGCAGAGGAGCTGCTGGCTCCCACTTCTGCCGCCCCCCAGAGGCTGTGCTGGAATTCAGCTACAAGTCCATGGCTGTGGATCCCATTCCCAGCCTCCCTGCAGGAGCTGGTGCAAACTCCATGTGGTACTGGGCACATGCAGCAGCTGCCTGTGCTGCTCCTGCCCTCCTTCCCCTTCCCTTTCTCCTCCCTTGCTCCCCCCTCTTGGGCTATTGCTGTGCAAGAGAGAGAAGCAGCCTTGGTTGCAGTGAGGCTGTGCATGTGCCAAGCCACTGCTCTCAGCTGAAGGGAAAGTAAGTGGCTAATGTAACAAAAATACAAAGAAGTCCCTTCATTTTGAACTCTAAACAGACTTTTAGGAGTGAAAAATATAGGAAAGAAACATTCAGCTAGGGAAAGTTTACAAATACTTCATTATAATTTAAATATGAAGCATGTGCAGCTATAAGTTCACTAGTTATTCCATTCCTGTAATGAAGATACAACTGTAGATTTCAGTGTATGCTTTTGTGGCAGTAGTTTCAGAGCTTCAGGCTACTCAGCATTTGTTTCAAGCTTTAGATTTTGCATTGTCACATCCAATACAGGTTGTAAACACAGTGTGTAAAAGAGTATTTGCACACTAACTAGCACGCAGTGATGGAACAGGATGAAATTTGCCTGTGGCCCTTGTGTAAGGTTATTTCATTAAGTAGGACACCATATTATACAAGCTACAGGGTGCTGACCAGATTTTTAGGGAACATGAATTAGTATTTCATTTGGCTTTGTAATCACAGTCATGCTTTTCTCTTTGTTCTTGTCCCCTCAGTGAAATTAGAAAGATTTGAAATCCCCATCAAGGTCAGGTTAAGCCCTGAGCCGTGGACCCCCGAGACTGGGCTGGTAACAGATGCCTTCAAGCTGAAAAGGAAAGAACTGAAAAACCATTACCTCAACGACATTGAAAGAATGTATGGAGGCAAATGAACAGCTCTGCTGACCTGGCAGCTGTGCAGGTGGCTCCTCCTCATGCCTCAGTTCTGGATGTCTGTGTGTACTGTAGATATCACACATTCAAAAAATACACCAAATGGACAGCTGTTTCTATAATCTCTATCAAGTAAAACAGAGAATATCTTAGACTCCAAATTCTTAATTGTTAGCAGATTAGACACTGATGGTCTTCATAGAGTTTTGTGTGATCATCTCCAGTTTTGAGACAGACATCATTGTGTGAAGCAGTGTGACCAGGTAATTTCATTGGTTCTCTAGCATATTCAGACTGCTTACAACTTCTCTCTAACTCATGCTGAAGTCTGGCCTATATTTTAAAGAGGAAAAAATAATGCAATTGTGATGATTCTTCTGTCATCATAAGACACTTGTAATAAGATATTTCCCTCTAGCAGGGAGGGAAAAAGAGTATCCAATGTCTACCCTTCTCCATTTAAAAACAAAAGCTGTACAACAGCAGTAGTCAAGAACTTGCTAGAGATCACTAATAATGCACTGCTTGAAAATGGATGGATTCTTCTGCACATCAATATCTTGAATATTTACAGTGCCTACAAAAGAATAGACAGTACACTTACTGAAATAAAGGTGAACTGAAAAGCTTTCTAAAAACAAGTTATAAAAAATTTCAGTCAAGAGCATTGAATTAACTATTTCAACTTCCAACTCACCAAACAGGTTTTTAATTGCCACTGCATTTTAATTCAAGCAGAGCTTTCCACTGGACACAGGGTATAAAAGAAAACAAAGACTTGCCCTGCTCTGGGGGTGCTGATGAGAAATCAGTGCCTGAATGCAGAACTTGCATCTGGACTGGCAAAGAGCTGTGAAACTGATGGGCAGTGGTCTCTGAACAGACTTGAGACTCAGAGGAGTTCTGGTGGGTTTTTTTGAGAGGTGGTTGATGTTTTTAAGGCAATGATTCTCTAGACCTTCACGTACACGTGAGTACTGGTACAGGTTACCTGGGTGTAGCTTAGAGGATCAGGTTTTAAATGTCTGCATTCCTTTCTGGAAGGTATTTCCGTTCACCTTTTAGCTGTGGTAAGCTTGATAAGGCAACCAGAAACCAACAGTTTCCCTGTCTAGTCTTGTTTTACTTACAGAAAAGTAGTCTGTGGCCAGGGAATCTTTTTCCTGGAAACTTGTAAAAAGGGACAAATCACTCTACAGAAATTCATGATAAAAATGTTCTCTTATTAACTGGAAGTCATAGATGTGAAGAAGGAGGAAGATATAATTTAATAATAGTTCATCATTTTGTGTGCCGAATCCTGTACTGTGTCTTCTTTTGAATTGTAAATGAGCTCCTGCATCCCTGTCAGCTCTTCACACTTGAACCATAAGTGCTGTAAAAAGTGGAGGCTCTTGATACTGTTCTACTTTGCACTTTCTTAATAGTTTTATATATGTTGCTTACATTTTGTACAGCTGTGGCCCTCATCTGCTCTATATTGCAAATTCATTTGAAAGTATTTATAGATTTCTATTCATAACATTTGTGTTGTGTATATGATGGTTAAAAAAAATATTTGGTATTGTCACTGTACAGAAAGTAAAAGATTTTGTACATTGCTTCTCTTGAGCACACGGGCTTGCAATTTCAAGACAAGTTTTTCTTTTTCTGCATGGATGTGTATTTTTATTTTCCAGTTAAAATAGACTTTGGCAAAAATAAACAACGGCTCTACACTCCTCAAGTAAAGCATCCCATCTCCTGGGGACCAACTTCAAACTTCACCATGCATAATTTTCTCTGGCTAGTGCAGAACACTGCCTGCTGACCTTCCAGGAACCTCGAGGGGAAAGAGAGAAAGAAAATCTGGTATATAAAGGTCATGGTATCCAGTTGTGCATGGAACTACAAGAGTCACTAAAAGGAACAAGGAAATAGCTTTTCTAAAAAAATCTTCTTTTTAAGATACACACAGTATATCAGCAGCAACTTTTAAAATTACTTGGTTCTGGAGCCTTGGTACCAATTTTTCCATGTTTTAAAAGTGGTCTCTATTCAGTAGCCTTTAGTCAGCCTATTAGCATCACAAAAGTGAAATACATGTAAGAAAGATACTTCCACTTGAGTCTGTCAGCAGGTTCTAAGACTATTTTTTTTAAGCCATGAATGTATTTATATGAAATGTATTTTATCTTCTGTGTCTTGGTTGACTGAGGATTGCTATTTTCAAAATATATGTACACACATAACACAATGTTAACATTTCAGAAGTGGAATACAACTTAAATGGTTCAACAAGTTTGTGTTTTGGGAAGATCTTTATATTGTTCCTGTTCTGTGCCTCACATTCTGTCTAAAACTGAGTCTATCTTACAAAGCAGCAGCAGTGAGTCCATACTTCAGGTAATAAAAACCAAGCCTCCAGGAGGCCTGGATTTTCTTGTATGGAATGAACTAGACATGGATGTACTGCAAAAGAAATTTGCTACATCATCAGCTTTTCAAGCACCTTTGGGGAAGGATTACATCAGGCTGCCTTCAAATGTGGGGATTGTTTGCAAGTACCTTGCAGTTGGGCAAGAACTTTATCCTTCATTTTAATGAATTCTAAATCCTTTTTGTGAGAGAGCTTGTAGAGAAGAAACAGAATAAGCAAGCATGTTTCATTTTTGCCATTAAAAAGAAGGAACTAGGATGCAGATGAAGAGATAGTAAATCACTTAAACATCATTATGTGATAATTAAAGATGCTGTTTGTCTTGTGCTGGACTGAAAGGACATAGACCATGGGACTGAAATGTGAGGGAGAGGTTCATTTACTGCTGAGGGTTCCTGAATGCTGAAAGTTCTTCAGAAAGCAGGTTAAGAATTTTAAATCATCCCTGTAAGACTGAGGAAACAAGTTCAAAGAGAAACAAAATGCAGTTTGGGCATATCTGGTGTAAGATTGTATTTAGGCCCTCTACCTCCAAAGCCATGGTCTGTCTAGAGAAAGCCAGAGTGTAACTACCACAGCAGGGGCTGGAAGCTTCAGCTGGGAGGGAAGGTTGGGGTTGTTTAGGTGGCCTGAGGAGGAATGGCATATGCCACTAGGTGATTAACCTGCAACTCCATGCACAGTTACCCTGACACAGGCACAAAGAGCTTCCCCAGGGAAGGAGAAAGAACAGGGTCTAAGTTTGCACAAAGTGAAATGGATCATTTGGCATTTTAAAAGAAACACAGGATTTAAACCAATTCCTTACTAAATACTGAACTAATTGCCCAAGATCTCTGCCACTGAAAGTCTGCAGAGCCTCAGAGGGAATGAGAGTTCAGCAAAGCTTTTGAGGAACAGCCTTGGCCCAGACCCACTGGTGGGGCTGGCAGGGACTGGTCCTGCACATGGCACAACAGGAATGCTGCTGTAACAGGCAGATGTCATTAAGTGGCTTGAAAGGGGAAAGAAGAAGGCTAAACAGGGAGAGGAAGGAGTTACTCCCTCAGGAGCAGGTAGGTGGTGGTTAACCAGCCCATGCACCCACAGTGCCCCTGAGAACACTCAGAGCACAACCTGCAGGCACTGCCTGCCAGCTCCCCCAGCACAAACTGCAATCCCAGCACACGGGCAGGTTGTAAAAGGAACAGAACACCAGTTCACAATGTGGGTCATTAATTTTCACTAGCAAAAAAACTCCAAAAACCCCATATCTACCACATCTCAGAACAACAGCTTCAAATAACTTTGTATTTGAATAGTAAATTAGTTTTGTTCTGCAATTACATGCAAAACAAGAAACAAATTCTCTTTATGTATTTGGTTTTGTTGGGCTTTTTGTTTGTTTGTACCTTGGCTTTATTTGGTTTTGGTTATTTTTGTCTGTGGTGGGGTTTCTTTTTAGTCATACTGAGCCTATCCCATGGCTAAGCTCTATTTACATGACAGTAAAGCAATTCCTTTTTGAAGGGTAAAATTTACACACATGAAGATTAAAAATAATAAATCTGGTGGGTTTTTTTGATAGATGGCACAAAGGCAATTACAAAATGCAATCAGCAAAACTTGCAGTCGCTGGCTACATGGAGTTGCAAAAAATGCACAGAGTAAAACTCCGTGTGAACTTACCTGGATTGATAAACTACATTTCCAGTTAACTCAGTGCTGCTGCCAAGTAGATTAGTGATTGCTTTATGACAGGAGTACATCAGCCATGGAGCACCAGGGCTGACTATATTAAATATACCTTTGTACTTAGCCTGTCTTTTCCACATAATTTAATTTGGATGAGGTCTGACAGAAACGGGGTAATATTTGCACTACTGCCTTGCTACTGGGTACTGTAATGGATTGAATCTTGCTACATGTTATGAAGAAAATGAAACCATTCTAGATTGATAGTGTTCTAATGAAGCTGATTATCACAGATAATTTATCCAAAATTGCCTTTGGTTGGAATAATGTAGCCTTGACATTAGACCAGTGCTAATTAGTTTAGACAGACAGAGCTCTGGCCACAGAGTCTGATCCTCACAGACTTCACCTGCACTTTTAAAGCAAAAAACAACTAAAGCACCAAAACAAAAAATGAAACAAAAAATATACCAGAAATCTTTGAGGTTTTCCCCTTGTTCTCCCATTTTGAAACACCAGTAAGCTGGTTAATGAAGAACCAAAAAATTAAACCAAAAATATATCAGAAATCTTTGAGTTTTCCCCTTGTTCTCCCATTTTGAAACACCAGTAAGCTGGTTAATGAAGAACACTACCAGAGATGCCAGAGGTCACTAGGTGTTTGTACACCTGCTTGTTTCTGCATTTACCCTCACATGTCTCCAAGTACAGAAGGTTGCTCATCACCTCTGTGTCATCCCTGTTATTTCTGAGCATCCAGACCCTGAGCAGGAATACCCATCGCTCCATGACCTCCTAGCAATTTAAATGCTAAAAGAGGAAGGTGTCATGTAAGTTTTACTTTTTTAAAACACAGAAAATACACCTCCATTTGAAACAGTTCTGGACTACTTCTAACAGGTGAATTGAAATTACTTCAGTTCACATGTTGTTCCAGCCCTGGGAGTTGTTTCTAGGATTTTTAATTGTTTTAAACAACTAACCCAAACTTTTCCTAGCAGATATAAATCAGTTTATTACTTATTGTGCTCCCCCAGGAGTGAGCATGAGGAATGGATCACTGTTCTCTGTAAGTGCCTGCCCTACTTTGCTTTCTGCCTTTGGAGTTGCAGCAAACACAATCTCCCAATGAGCCCATTTCCACGGCATTTAATCAGGGTCATTAAACCAAGGTCCCTCTGCCCCCACATTCAAAACAAAACACCTTCCTCACCCCCTACACAGCTCATGGAAATTACTTCCCAAAGCCTTTACCTTCATCCCAGAACCTGCCTGCTTCTTATGTAATGGGACAGCTCTCACCTTGGGACTTTCTTTTTTCCTTATTTTTAAAGTCTGGATCTCAGCTCTGAACACTTGCAGAAGCACAAGAACTTCACTGCTGTGAGGAGGGGGAATGCACAGCACCTGACAGTGACTTCAGGAGCTCTGCAAGCAAACACTGCACCTCAACCCAAGTGAATTTCCAACAGCTCAGTCTGGATCAGTTTTAACCTTTGTGCAGCTCATTCTGAGCATTTACTGGCAAGCAGATTCCTTACTTTCAGAGGAGAGATGCCAAGAAAATTGTTCATGCCAACAAAAAACATACCATAAGAAAACAAATTAAAACCTAGCCCTGTGTGATATCCATCAGACCCTGGGGTTTGGCTCTCTTGGGTTTCTAAATTGAAATTCAGCTCTTCTGTGGTAAAAACTATGGTCTGTTGTACTTTCTATTTTACTTCCATGTCCAGCCACCAGTACACTGTGGGTAGGTGTCCTTTCAGTAGGTCACCTGTAGACAGTGAAAATGCAAAAAGTCTGCAATGTATCCAAGCAAAAAACTTCATTTAAGAGACATGAATTGTAGGACTCATAAGGGAAAAACACCACCTACTGTGCCCAAACCCCCCATGTCTTCCTGACTAGACAGCAACCTCTCACTCGTGTCCTAGAGAGTGTAAACTCCCCTGTGCTGCAGCTGTGGGGCACAGAGTAACTATCCTGAAACCAGAGAGTGTCTCTGTTGTATTTTACTGATAGAGAAGCAAGGAATGATTAATTGAAGGTCTTAGGAAAAACAGATGGAAAATATAAAAAAAAAAAAAAAAAAGAAGGCATGTGTTGCCACAGAAACATCCCATTTATGAGTGTTTCTTCTGAAGCAACTTTAAAAGAGAAGCATTATGGAAAATCAACCAACATTTTTTCAGTCTTTAACTCAGTATTGCACACTTGCCTAATGCTGTTTATACAGAAAAGCCCAAGTCAATACTATGGCATTTTGCCTTTTCAGATGGGTACTCATTCTTGTCTGCTGTTAAAATACATATTTTCCTCCAAAAACAATGAGAGGAAGATGGAATGGACCACAATGATCAGTCCCAGCCATCTCCCAGAAAGGAGCAAAGAAACTGCACTGATAAAAACTACTCTAAATGCTGGCAAAATTATGAATCTCTAACATGCAACTGCCACGCTCATCTGTATAAATAATGACAATTGAAATTACAGTTACCAGATAAACAACCTGGGAGCAGGGAGAACTTCAAGGACCTCAGAGCATTCACAGGACTTCAAAAAACCCTTAACTATAGACAGAGACTTTTGCAAGGAGGAGGAAAAAAAAGAAAACCCACCTGTCTGTTGCCTCAGGACCCTCTCCAGCCCAGCCAGAGCAGGAACCACCCAGAACTCACCTGCAAACATTCAGTTCTTCCCAGGCCTGTCTGATTAAGGAAATGAGCCTCTGCACCAATTACCAGCTGAGTGACCCCAGTTCATTCTGCCCCTGGGCACCAGACCAGCACAGCTGTCGCTGCTCAAGCTCCAACTCCTCAGCACTGTTCCCTCCAAACTTCCTCCCTTTTCTCTGCTGTGTGCCCTCAACAGCAAACCTGCTCTGGAGCCTGCCCAGGGCCCTTGCTGTTGATCTGCTCTCATTTTGTCAGCTGGGTGCTGGATGATCTCCTGCAGGAGAGGTTTGATTAGACATTAGGAAGCAATTCATCAGTGTGAGGGTGGTGAGGCCCTGGTACAGGCTGGCCAGGGGAGCTGTGGATGCCCCATCCCAGATGTGCTCAAGGCCACGCTGGATGGGGCTTGGAGCAATCTGGTCTAGTGGAAGGTGTTCCTGCTAATTTCAAGGGGTTGGAAGGAGATGAGCTTTAAGGTCCTTTCCAACCCAAATCATTCCGTGATTCTG